GGCCTATTTATGCGGACATTTAGAAGTGTTGGGCCGAGGTCCCAAACTAATTGACCTATTGAACACAAGGCTAAAGCTCGATCCCCGCTTGGCATGTACGGTTGTAAGACTCTGCTAAGATTTCATATACCTACCAACTGTTTTTCTTGTGTTCATAATTAGAGTGGTACCTCGGTCAAAGAGTTTAATCTGTCCGGGCACCGAGCTCGTCATGGGTAACCCTCGTCCTGCGAGGTGTAGCCAATCAAACTACATCAGTTCACTGATTGGCTGCAGGTGACCGGAGACCCATGCACTGACAGCTCATTAGCTGAGTGGAAGCTCGTAAATCAAAAATAATTTCGGCTCGTTACCTGAAATGCTCGTAGATGGGACTATTCTTAATCCAAGGCTCCACTATATATTGTCGGATGCTATTACGGTGCGATTAACTATATATAAGTCCTCAGCAGTAAAGACAACGTCTTACAACACTGTCTCCAGTATGGTGCCTCACGATAACATTTTGTCGGATTAGTTTTTGATGTTGTTTTAAGGCCTACACCTCAAAAACTTACGGAGATAAAGCGTAACGCCAAGTCTGATGGCGATGGCCGCAGACCATAGTTCAACAGACCTCTGTGCAGCAGACAGCATAGCCATCAGACAGTCATTCTGATCACCTTTTGCCTGGTTGAACCACATGAAATATTTACTGCATAGTAGTACTCCCGTTTGCCATTCCGCAGTTGACAAGAATCCTTATCAGGCGATGTTGGCTGAACTACCGAGTACTAGTACGCCTATGTGTTTGAGGCGCGTGCTCGGCGCTGCGACAGTCAATGCACCTCTTCCGCAACCACTTGCCCATCAAGCCCGGAGAAGTCGCCGATTTACTGGGTTCTGGTCAGGTTGGCAGTGTTCTTGGGGCGCCTTTTCTTGTTCAAACTAAACTCGACCTGGGGACTGGCGTGGCTTGGCATTTTCAGGGCCGAAGGCTTAAGTGGGCATCTTTATGAAACAGGGTCGGACTGCAGTGGGGCTCACTTACTGTGACCTCTCTCTCAGGCAATTATCGTCTTTTTCAATCCCAGTTCGTAAGTGACACAGGTTGGACGCTGGCCTCACATAGCTTCAACATCGTGCAGTCTTGTTCTAAGCTAGCCTGACTCATGAAGGCGCCTGGCATGTGGAAAAGGGACAGAATAATGATGTCTGCCCAACTGGCATTCAGCACCCAAGTACCACATTGTAAACAACCAAACACTCCACAGGACTGTCTCAACATGGCAACAGCCGTTACTGAAAAGGTTAAAATTTTACGGGTAACTTTGGTCTTCTCTAGACTCAGAGACAGAGTGCAATAACATTTTCGATGTTTGACCAAGAATCCGTCCGTTGGAGTCTGATATCTGTGGAGGCAGGGACCAGACCGTGTATAACGCGCAGGTGAGCTGTTTGAAAGTGTCAGCCATAGC